AGTCTGCCATCATCTGATTCATTAGCAAGAACTGTTCGAAGACAGCGTCCAACATTATCTTTAACTTCATCTTCTCAATTACCTATTGAATTAAGAAAAACTGATCGTGGAGACGATTTTATACTTTATGAAGATGATGAAATGATTATTTTTACTACAAAAAAAAATTTATCTTTGTTAAAAGAATGTAAACATTGGTTTGTAGATGGTACTTTTAAGGTTGGTTAAAATAATTTCTTGCGTTTAATGATACATATAAATATATATTTTTTGTATAGGTTTGTCCTAAAGAATTCTACCAATTATTTACATTACATGCCTTGTTAAAATCTGTTGTCGTTCCACTCGTCTACGGATTATTAATTGGTAAAAGTGGTGATGATTATAAACAGTTTTTTGAAAAAGTGTTAGAACAAGATGATTTTCAACCAGAATCAATTCTTAGTGATTTCGAAGCAGGCACAATCAAAACCATTAAAGAACTTTTTCCGAATACTGTTCATACAGGTAATATAAATATATAAATTTTATTATTATTATATATATATATATATATTATTTATTTTTTAGGCTGTCTTTTTCACTATGGACAGTGTATATGGCGTCATATACAAGAGAAAGGTTTATCAACAAAATATGATGATGATGATGATAATTTTAGATTAAATGTTAGAAAATTATTATCATTACCTTTTGTTCCAGCTTCAGAAGTGATCGAAGCGTTTGAATTAATTGCTGATGAATTCGATGATCAAGCTGATACTCTTGTTGAATATTATGAAAAGACATGGATCGGGGAGAGGAAGAAACGAGGTAAGAACAATTTATTTTGTGTAAACTTTGTCTAAAATGTATTTTATAGGAGCTGGAAGAAAAAAACCAAAATTTAATAATGAATTATGGAATGTATATGAGCGTGCCATTAATGATCTTCCAAGATCAAATAATTCGGTAGAAGCCTGGCACAGTGCATTCGCAAACCGCGTGTCCATAGCCCATCCATCAGTTGCCAAACTTGCTGATAAAATTCGTCAAGAACAATCAAAATTTGAAATTGATATTGAACAAATATTCCAAGGTCATCAGCCACAATTAAAAAAATTAACTTATCGTAAACTCAATGAAAGAATAATACGGGTGGTCAATATGTATAACAAGAATCAATTGGACGAATATCTAAAAAACATTAGCGCTAGTATTATTATCTAAAATTTATTAATTTCAATTTT